TCTAATGACATTATTAATAAACTCTGATAACAGTCTGAGATCAATAAAAGATCAAATTCTGCAATGAATCTGTTCAAACTGTTCTAAAACTCGAGTCTTTTTTTGCCAAAGTCAAAGCAATCAAAGAATTTAATCAATTGGTGAATTTGATGAAATGAATGCAAAAGCTTAAAATCATTCAAACCCAAAATGACAAGAAGAACGGTTTTCCCATTTCAATAGAACTCCTCTCCTGAAGGATTTCTCCCCAATGGTGGAAAGGGTCCGGAAATCCGGTGGTTGCCCTTTGGTCCTTTGGTCCTTAGGTCCGTTGGTCCCTTTCTTGTGCTCAATTTAAGATTGCTCCTTTCTCTAGGCTTTCTAAAACCGCCGCACCGTAATTATGCATCGTTACACTTGAGAGAAAGTGTTTCTTCAGAGCTTTTCATTATTTAACAGTCTTATAATTGGTCTTTATCTTGTAAAAATTTGAATTCTTTCTCTAAAATTCATAAAAAAATAATCTAAAATTTGTTATCTTTTAGATGTGCCCTTTCTCCTCCAGACGATCGAATCCAACGAGCTTTCCTCGAGTGTGAGAACCAATTGGGCATTCAGCCACAGAAAAAGATCAAGGAGAGTTGCGAGTGCTTGAAAGGAGCTGGAGTCAAGATTGAATGTCCTATTGATTGAATGTTCTATTGATTGAATGTCCAATTAATTGAATGTTCTATTGATTGAATTTAACGATTGTAATCTATCTGTACATAAACGATAAATAGTAAGGTATACGCTTTTTAGACACACCAAAGTCAGCTGTGATTTCTAGGAGTATCTTTAAATCTTTAACTTTTTGGTACCTAAAAGTTCTGATCTCATTACAACGAGTAAGCCGAAAGACAAATAAATACAAGATCAGATCTTTGCGAGAGATGGGAACCGTAAGAAAACGGATAACGACGGCAGCTGGTAGCACAGGTGGCACTTGGGATAGAGGGGAGAGAGGGGAGGGACAACGGGGACAAGAAGGACAACAGGGACAACAGGGACAACCAACACAGTCCAGGGTGAATGGGTGGTACCAGTCCCCGGGGGGCAATCTACCGGAAACTGTACACTGGGCTCAATAGTGACATCCAATTAAGAAAATGGGAAGAAATGAGAGCGCAGTTTTTAAGCGAACATGGTTTTAATAGGTGGATCAAGTTCGAGATCAAGTTCAAGTTTAAACAGTCAACTTTCTGATCTAGAAATGATTACTTTAAGTAGTGTGTGATCCAGATTGACTAGATTTAGTTGTACTAAGCGATAAGCGGGCTTGGAAAATTCAAAATTGACAGCAAATTGTCTATCGTATTATCAGCACCAAGAGTATGACTCATTTTAGGACATTATTTACAGTGAGTCAGTAAGTCTAAACGGGTAGCTGGCTTACTGTAGTTGGACTACTGTATATATGGCTGATCACTTTGGGGTTACGGTAGATCTAGAAGGGTTACTGTAACTTTATCTAGAAGAAGTACGGTAAAACTTTAACAACTGTACTTTCCCATTAAACGTTCTCACATTCAGAATGTGATACCTAAGGTTTCTGGAGAAGCCAAGTGCCTAATTGCCATGAGAGGAGTGGGCCAGAGTGCTCCCTCATCTCTCCAACTCCTCCTCAGTCCTCCTTCAGGTCTTCTTTCCATCATCCCATTGCCTTCTCGTGTCAAATTAAGGTAATCAGCAAGCATTTCTTTTCTCCTTTCATCCCACATTACATTCGAATAGCCCATTATTTCACAAGATCTTTATTGATCGAATGTCTCAAACTTCATCGGAATGCTCAGGTAGAAATTGAGTTTAAATAGCAAATAGATAAAGAATAAGCTATCTAACAAAAAGCCCTTAACAATAAGCACCTAACAATAAGCTATCTAACAAAAAGCTATCTAACGATAAGCACCTAACAACAGCACCTAACAATAAACAATACCTAACAAGCTATCTCACAATAAGCTATCTAACAAAAAAGCACCTAACAATAAACAATACCGAACAAGCTATCTATCAATAAGCTTTCAATTTTCAGATGACTTTGAAGACGACTTTTGGCCAAACATTCACATCTACATTCCAATGATGGCTGTGGTCTTTGGTTTGATTTTAATTTCATACCATCTTCTTCTATCAATCTTTTAGGTATACCAATTCTGGTGATTCTTGGGATTTGTTTGATTCAAATCAGAAATCGAAGAATCCAACAGCAACAGAGTGAAATGTTGCATAATCGTCGGCTCTCAACGTGGGCTTTCAAATGTTTTTCAAATGTTTTGAGTGTCATTAGCTTTCTACCGTACACAAAAGCCAGAAGAACAGAAAGATGCATTGATTTCAAAAGGATTGAGAGATTACTGTATAAATTATTATCCAGTAAAAGAGCTATACAAGAAAACAGAATTCTTAAAGCCTTTCCCCATTGAGCCACATCCACTTTCTATTCGACTATCCCCATCCATCCATCGATGAAGTGTGTGTCTGAATGGGTCTGTCCGTTCTCTTCCCTTTCCCCTTTTCTTTCATCCATCGGGCCCCTCCGCGGCCACAATTGGGCCCCCCTTCGGTCTTGGATCGGAGTGCCTCTCTCCTCTCCTTTTCTCCATCTCCCCTTCATCCTTTTTTTTCTTTTTCCATCACATCTTCATCGAGGTCTTTGTAAAAGGCTATTATAGTCCTCCACAATAGATTCAAACAGAAAAGTTCGCTAAAATTAACCAATGAAAACTTTGATAAGATAAGTTGTATTTTGTAAGTAATAAAGTTTACTATAAGCTCAGAGTTATTGTAGAAACAAAACTGGAAAGTTTATTTGATTAGCAAATCTTTGAAAACATTGATTCTCTTTGTAAGAAATAGAGAAATCTCTTCTCTATAGAAATTGTTGTTTTCGTTAACAAGTTTATCAATTAAAGTAACATTTTGTAAAAGTTACTTCAAACTCTAGAGTCTCAATCTTCAACAGTTGCTCTGGCTTCATTAGGCCAACCATTGTCGACCAAAAATTACAAGAAGTGGATGAAGAAAGAGGAAATTCTCGTCTTTGTGCCTAACAGCTTTCCTTTAGAGTCTGTCTCTTTTCCATCCAACACCACAACACGAATTATCCCCCCAAAATTGGGCAGAACGGCTCTCCTCCTTTCCATTTTCCCCCTTTCTCCTGGTCGTTACTGAAAAGCTCAACACCTTCTTACACAAGAGCACACAAGAGCCTTTGTCCCCTCACTCACTCACTCAAGAATTCGAGAATTTAAATGCTATTTCTTGTTAAAAGTACAACAATTTAATGGTTAGATTAATCAAAAAAAAAGGTTTAGTAACTTATTAGTAACTTAAAAACCTTTTAAAACTTTTAATTTTAGGCAATCTGGTAGTCTCTACGTGGGAAATCGCTCGAGATCGTGAAAAGAGATTGTATTTTTTTTAAATTCAATAAATTCTTTGATTTAATATTGATTCAAATATTGAAAAATGTGATGACATTGTAATTACTAATTAATTATTCATACAAACTTACAAACAGCTCTCCTCCTTCTCCTTCTCCTTACTGAAACCTCAACAAATCAATTTGATCTGATCTGACAGTTTAATCTAACAAGTTTAATCTTCAGTACCAAGCTACAGATATCTCACTGTAAGGTAAATAAAGCAAAGATTACTTTAATTAAGCTATTCAAAGAAGCCACAGTCTTATTGTAGCACTAATATTAGCTTCCGGAAAAAGTAATATCGGTTTTGACTTCCCGTTGTTGGCAATTTTCCAGTTCTTTGCTTTGCTCTTTATCTATTTTTCAATTAGATATCAGCTAGACACTCTATGCTTTCATATTAAATTTGATTTTCACAAATTTAACAATATTTTCAGGTACAAAATGCAAGACGAAAAGTTTCGACTTTGAGCCGCTTTTTGGTATGATTTTAAACAAGGGAAATTGACGAGCTTAGTTGGAAACTTGTGCCCCAGTTGGTTGGAGACTTGTGCCCCAGTTGGTTGGAGACTTGTGCCCCAGTTGGTTGGAGACTTGTGCCCCAGTTGGTTGGAGACTTGTGCCCCAGTTGGTTGGAGACTTGTGCCCCAGTTGGTTGGAGACTTGTGCCCCAGTTGGTTGGAGCCTTGTGCCCCAGTTGGTTGGAGACTTGTGCCCCAGTTGGTTGGAGACTTGTGCCCCAGTTGGTTGGAGCCTTGTGCCCCAGTTGGTTGGAGACTTGTGCCCCAGTTGGTTGGAGACTTGTGCCCCAGTTGGTTGGAAACTTGTGCCCCGCGCACCTTATAGTCCGCTCCTGGCCTCATCAGATTATTTTTTGTTTTTGAAGAGTTTTCTTATGGGAGAAAAGTTCGAGAATCATCAAAAATCAAAAAAAGTCGACACTTATTTTGACTCGAAAACTCTCCATTTTTTTTGTTGAGGATGGGATCAGGGAATTGCGACGAAGATGGGAGCATTGGATCAATAATAATGGAGAATATCTCATTGATTGTTGCTTTGTTTTTAGCAATAAACAGTTTTGTGACAAAAACCGACATGACTTTTTCCTCAACAATAGAAAAACAAAGGTTTTCTTGATTGATCTTTTGAATTGCTTTCATTTCATTGATGAAAGCAGAACGATCCCCGTTTCCCCTTTCTCGAATCTCTCGCCAAAGACCATCTCTTTGAGGCTTTTTCCCGACGATAAACCCCGCCCTCTTTCACCCTCACTCGGACCAAATGCCCTTAGGCCCCGAGAACTGCCCGACCATCTCCCTCTCAGTCACAGCCAACCCCACCACTCACTCATCTTTTAGCTTTTCCTTTTCTTTTCCTTCTTTACTAGATCTGCTTTACTATTTGATTTGAAACTTTGTTATTTTCAAGAAAAAAATTAAAATCAGATTGAAATCTCAGCTCTGAAGCTTTCTCAAAATTCTTTACCAATCTCAATGCCACTTTTCAACAGATTTTAAAGTCTTTACAGTTAAACAGTTTCATATTTAGTGAGAAATGATGGACACAATGGATGCGAAGCCTCCGCTGATCGATTTGGATTTGAATGGATTGGCCTCCGTTCTCTCAATACCCGCCTCTGGCAGTAATCACGATTGTTCACTTTGCTCGAAAACTTTCCCCAACTCGAAACTCCTTCAACAACACCAGCAAACGTTTCACACGGATAAGGTGAGTATTTCAAATGAAATTTAATAGTAAATATGAGTTTAAAAATGTAGATCTATAAGTGTTGGATTGACAATTGTTTACCAGTTAAGAAGTTTTTTCGATTTCAATTCAAATATAGCTGATAAAGATGCTAGGTAGAGCTGTATTCACTGTCCAAATGACAGCTTTAATAGGTTTATTTGTATATTCTTATATCTATTAACCGGATTCCTTTTCTTTCAACTGTAATTTTGTGTAGAAGATAGAAGATGCTATTTAGAATTGTATTCACTGTCCAAATGACAGCTTTGATAGGTTTATCCGTATATTCTTATATCTATTAACCGGATTTCTTTTCTTTCAACTGTAATTTTGCCTACAAGATAGAAGATGCTACGTAGAAGTGCATTCACTATCCAAATGACAGCTTTGATAGGTTTAGCCGTATATTCTTATATCTATTAGCTGGATTTCTTTCCTTTCAACTGTAATTTTGTGTAGAAGATAGAAGATGCTACGTAGTAGTGCATTCACTGTCCAAATGACAGCTTTGATAGGTTTATCCATATATTCTTATATCTATTAACCGGATTTCTTTTCTTTCAACTGTAATTTTGTGTAGAAGATAGAAGATGCTACGTAGTAGTGCATTCACTGTCCAAATGACAGCTTTGATAGGTTTATCCATATATTCTTATATCTATTAACCGGATTTCTTTTCTTTCAACTGTAATTTTGCCTACAAGATAGAAGATTCTACGTAGAAGTGCATTCACTATCCAAATGACAGCTTTGATAGGTTTATCCGTATATTCTTATATCTATTAACCGGATTTTCCATCTATCCTTTCCTTTCAACTGTAATTTTGCTGAAAGCTTGTCAAATATGCAAACGATATTCGGTATTCTGCATTGGATACATAGAAGGAAAAAGAGAAAAGGGGAGCTCAATACAACCTAATGGTGGGCCGGGAGGGAGATTGAGATGAGAGACAAATGCAAAAGGGGTACACAGAAAATCAAAAGAGATATTCTAAAGGGATTTCTGGATTGAATACAAGTAAAAGGGATTACTGTTGTAACAAGTTTCAATCAAAAATTTTACTATAAACTTTTGATGAACCAGAAACGAAAATGAAAAAGTCGTAGACAAGTGATCAACTCTTCAACAAAACTCTTTGCTTTCCTTGAGCTTGAGTTTATGAACGATATTCTAACATGAGTTCCAGAAATGGGAAATTTATGACTAACAAGTGATAGTTGATCATTTTAACGTCACAATGGCTTTGTACAGGTTTTGTTCCTGTTAGCCTAGCAAAAGTCTAGTCAACCATTTCGTCACAATAGCACAATGGCTAGCTCTGTAGATTTGTAGATTGAATTTCTTGAATCCCTGAGTTTAAATTACAATTTAATGCAGCTTAGCACATCAGTTAGTTTGGTTCGTTTCTTGTTGCTAAAGTGGTTGGCTAGCTCTAGCACTTTCTTTGACTTATTTATCCGTCCAGTAAACCAAAGCCCAGCAAACTTATCTATCATCTTTCGTCAGTCCATTCACTTTTCTGATCCAACTAATTGCAAAAGAGTGTACAGATGGTCGTTATTGGCAATCTCAAATCTTTCTCTTTCTCTTCCTCTTCCCTTTTCTTTGACTGTCTTTCACAGAAATGTTTACTGTAAGGCAAATAAGAGAGATGATTGTAGTGAGAAAAGAAAAGAAAAAGAGTCATTGAGAACACATGGATGCATGCAAAATGATGACAGCTGGGAGAAAAGGGAAATCAGGGAATGTTGCCATTCTGAGGATGATCTGGTTGAGAATGAGATTGGTAAGGTTTAGTAATTTGATCAATTGATCTAATAACTTTTGATCAATTGATCAGTTACAACTTAGCACATCAGTTAATTTGATTCATTTCTTGTTGCTACAGTGATTGGCTAACTCTAACACTTTCTAGATAACTAGTTTCTCTTAACTCCATTACAGTATCCAATTCGATAAGCATAACAGTAAAGTTTTATAGTTATCCTTGATAGAATTCGATTTCTCTGCTTTCCTGAAGAACCTGTACAACCATTTTCGTTAAACAGGCTCGGCTTCTATTCAAGACCAAACCCAATCCTGTCATTGATCTATCTCCTCACTCCTTTCAATCCTCATCCCCTTCTTTTCCTAACCCTTTGGCCCATTCCCTTTACTTTCCAATATCGGGACGAATCTCTCCTTTGGGGCCTTTTTCTAGCAAAGGGAAAGGAGGCGGTGTGGCGTGTTGTGCGCATGACTAGTGCCCATCGGGGGAATCGAAAAGAAGGGGAACCGGGCAAGAGAAGGCCCCTAGCTAGAGAAGGGCCTTACAGAGCCCCGATCGAGGCCCCCCTTCTCCTCCTTTCAGTCTGTGGAAAGTAGGCACAAGCCGATGAGAGAGACTCTTCCCCTTTTTCCCTGCCAAACACAGCCAGCGTGTTTATGCTCAGTGCTCCTTTCCCTCGATCTCTCTTTTCAGTCACTCAAACTGCCAGAAGACGTCAAGCTCTTTTCTGAGGCTTACCGTGAGGAATGGGTAGTTGATGGGGGGAAAAGTAGGGAAACTAAAGGGAAATGCTACTTTTAATACTGTGAGGAATGGGTAGTTGATGGGGGGAAAAGTAGGGAACTAAAGGGGAAATGCTATTTTTAATAAATAGGGTGTCTTCTAGGAATAGAAAATAGAAAATTGCATGTGATTTGAAATCAAACTGTCTTCAGAAAGTCATAGACAAGTGATCAACTCTTCAACAAAACTCTTTGCTTTCCTTGATCTTGAGTTTATCAACCATATTCTAACATGACTTCCAGAAATGGGAAATTTATGACTAACAATTGATAGTTGATCATTTCAACGTCACAATGGCTTTGTACAGGTTTTGTTCCTGTTAGCTTAGCAAAGTCTAGTCAACCATTTCTAAACCCAAAAATTGATCACCATTTTCTCGGCCTAGTCCCCCAGTGAGCTAGAGTTGGATGGCTGTGTGAAAAGGGGCAACTCATCGGCACCGACCGGCTGAGCTGAGGATGTGAAAGGAGAAGACTGAAAGGAAAGAAGAAAGAGAGAAGGAGAAAGAGAAGAGACGCGCATCTCTCCGTCTAATTTAGCGCCTCAGGCGATCCCTGTGCTTTCCCTATCCCTTCTCACCCTATCTTCCTATCTTCCCTTCTTCCCCTTCTTCAAGGTCTGTAGGGGTCGTCTCCTCTCGAAAATAATTGCTTCTTCGGTGTTGTGAAAGGAATTTGATGCCACATTTAGAGTGGCGTACTTGGGATGAGAGTCCAGATAGATCTGTAAGCTTCAAACTATTCTATAGTTGTTCTGAAATTGAGTAAAGCCTGGGACAAGGTCTTCAATTGGTCAAGCTTTGAAAACTCTTGTATTGATCTTGGGAAATGAGGTTCAGAATCGACTTTGAATTGGAAAATGATCATTAGTTTCACAGCAATTGTTGATTTTGATTGAAATGCGTTTATCCAATAGCTTTAGACTGTTGAAAGGTGAATTTTAGGTTGGTGATCAAGTTCTGATCTAGTCCAGAGTTCATAAAACAAAATTATTCCAGTGTACAATGCTTTCTGGGATTTTGAAATAAGTCAAATCGTTGAAATGCATAAAAAAAGAAAGTCTAGACGATTTTTCTGCAACTCACAAACTCTTCTACCCAAAACCTTATTTATTTCCTTCAATTGCAGGCCTTCGTCTGCGAGATTTGCGGGAAAGCTTTCCGTTTCCGCTCAAATCTTGCCGAGCATCGATCCGTTCACACAGCTCTCAAGCCATTTGTATGCAAATTTTGCGGGAAATCCTCTCGACTAAAAGGTGCTACAGAGATTCTTGAGAATCTTGATCAATTATCAATCAATTTTTAGGCAATCTAACAAAACATATCTTGAAACATCATAAAAAGGAGCAAAATGAGCAAATAGGCATCGATGATATCATCATTAAAAAGGTTTGTTTAAAGAAAATCGTGTTTTTCTTCAAAAATCTTACTTCTTTGTTGCTTCCTAACTTCTTAGGCTTAGGCTTAGGCTTAGGCTCGGGCTTAGGCCTAGGCTTAGGCTCAGGCTTAGGCTTAGGCTTAGGCTTAGGCTTAGGCTTAGGCTTAGGCTTAGGCTTAGGCTCATTTAATTCCAAAAATCCATGTTCACTCACCCGATTTCTGTACTTTTTTCTTGTTAGGCCGGGTATTTCACCAGCGGAAAAACTCCGATTTTCAAATGTTTAGGGCAAAAAATCGGTGAAAGACCCGGCCGCGGTCGATTTTCTGGAAAAATCGATGTTTGTCATCGGCCCAACCAAGGTATTTTCGTGTCCTTGGTGTTGTGAAAAAGAGAAATTTTTGTGCTTTTCCGTCTCCTTTCAAAATTTTATAGAAATCATAGCAGAAGTTGTTGGTTTAGATAAGAGTTTTTAGCCATCTGGCAGGCACATTGTAGTCTTACAAAGTCTTACAAAGTTACCGTTTCGGTATGATGGATTCTAAGACAAAAAATACTGGCTACTGTACTGAATTGCGTACTAAACGGAAAAGAACCAAATCTCTATGTTGCCTTGACATTGATTGCATTCTGTTTTTGCTGTGAATCGTTAAATTTGCTAAAAATTGATCCAAATTTTCAGGGAGCTCCACCCCAAGAAGTCCCTGTCTCACTCTTACCGAAAGCCGAAAATGAATCACCGGAAAACTATGAAAAGTGGGTTCTAGATTCAACAAAATATAGGGTGCGCTCCAGATCGGAGATTTGATCCATTTCTCTATTCCCTGTGCCATCCCGTGAGGGGTTGTTGTGGGTGAAGAGGGTTGATCTCATTTGCGCGAAGACGAGAAGGACCTTTAGAGAAGGGGCGACAGGAGGCTCTTTCTAAAGGGGTCTGTCTGAAATTTGACAGAGATTGGGGCAAGGGGAAAGGATCTTGAAGCTAGAATGGAAAATGAGATATCTGTTATCTACGTTAGGTTAGCGAGTTAGCTAGATTTTCTAAAGACACGCCATTACCTACCTTATTTAGTAATAGTGTAAAAGGTTATTTTAGGAAAACACAGGCTGCGTTAAAAGTGACGTTTCTTGTCGAAAACAAACTAAATTTACAAAAAATCAAACAAGAAAGCCAATTTAGAATATTTAAAACAAAAAAGAATAGCAATAGATACACAAAATGTTCTCCGTTTGCTTCAATACATTTCGTTTTCGTTTTTGAACTATGGTTGAGATACATTAGGCATATCAGGCCCGTTAATGAACTAGCTAAGCCAGCCAGCCAGCCTTTCAAAGCCAGCCAGCCAGCCATTACCTACTTGGTTAGTGTAGAAGGTATTACTTTAGCTTTAGGTCATCAAAAGCCCACTCAAAAGACTCAAAGCTTAAAGCGACTTTGAGCTTTTTAACTGATTTGAATCTGGTACTGGAGATACGACTCTTTGCATTTTCCCATATTCAGTGATTATATCAATTTGGGGAGTGGGACAACTCTGGGAGTGAGACGAAAAGGTCGCATTTGTCTCACTCCCTCAATTTGCCCCTTTTTATGCAGCTCCGATGATTGTTATCCGTTCATTGTCGATCTCCATTCTTGCACTTGCAAAATTACTTTTAATTTCTTAAAAGTAATACAAAAATATTAGAAAAACATAAAAATTGGTTTAAAATATGAAACGATAAAAGATATAGATCTTTTAATAAACCCTAAGCTCTAAAGAAACTCAATCTTCTTCTAATTAGTTTTCCAATACATTTCTAAGTACAGCTATTTGTACTATAGTGCTATAAAATGAATTTTTTATCAGTTAACTTTATAAAGAAATCTCTCAATTTCCAGAGCCATCCTTCTCTCATTCGGCTTCGATCAAGGCACAATGGATTTAACAGAAAATGGAGAGGAAAACGGAGTCGACAGTCCAGAAGGTACACAAATATTGGAGGGGGATTTTCTGTAAAATTTAATATCCTCCAAATTGTTGGACTGTCTCGGTGTAGTGAAAAGGGATGAATGGAAAGGGTAAAAGAGAGGGGAAAAAGAGAAGCCCGTGAATAGTCCCCATAGTGATCACCCGCTTATTTCGATGGCACTGTATTCCCCCCATCCTTTTTGGGATATTCAATCCGGAACACTGCTTATCCCTTTTCCCAGATTCGAGAGGGATTTCCTGTAAATCTCTACATTTTCAGCAAAGAATTTTTGTAATCTGGATAACAGGGGACCATTTTATAGAAATAAAACTATGTTTTTAGCTACAATTACGACAATTAGGCTTTCTCTATAAGAGAAGCTTTCTCTACAAGAGAGGCTTTCTCTATAAGAGAGTCTTTCTCTACAAGAGAGTCTTTCTCTACAAGAGAGGCTTTCTCTACAAGAGAAGCTTTCTCTACAAGAGAGTCTTTCTCTATAAGAGAGGCTTTCTCTACAAGAGAAGCTTTCTCTCACCAAGAAATTTTCCTAGTCACCCGGTTTTTGAGCTCAAATTTTACCCAAAAACTTTTTTTGAAATCAAGCTTTTGTTAAACTGGATAGCACACAGGATAATAGACTTATTTAAATAAATTTTCAATGTAAATCCTATCAAATTGGATAGCACACAAGGCAATGACAGCTATTTTAACAAACTTTTCTGTATTCTAGAAATTTTCCAAATATCATTTTCTCTAATCCTGGCAGGCATTTGGAAAATTGCAGAAGTTTTGACTGATGAAAGGGAAGAGAAGAGAACCGGTACTCGGAATTTCTAATCAAGGCCATGGAAAAGGAAAAAGGGGCACAGATCTCTCATCGTCCACCTCTTTCTTGGGAAAGGGGAGAGAGATGGCCCCCGAGGGTCCTTTTTCTTCTCTTCAGACCAGCTTTAGAAGGGTTTGCGCCCCGAATGCGCGCATTATGCATCACATTGCATATTCCAACTCTTTCTCTCAATCCTCTTCACTTAAAGAAGCCAAAAGTTCATCTTTCTGACTTTCTAGAAAACATTGTATTAATAGGAAATTGGAAATATTAAAGCCAAAGAGAATTATAAAGAAAAACAGATGAAATAAACAAACAAAAGTTAGGATTATGCCAATGACTCAATGAAGCAAGATTTAGACATCGTTTCCTAATAGGCAATAGGAAAAGAACCGATAAAAAGCAACACAATGTCCTCTTTCATCTTTCTGACTTACTGGAAAACATTGTATTAATAGGAAATGGCAAATATCAAAGCCAAAGAATACGATAAAGAAATAAATAAAGAAAACTTAAAATGATGCCAAGATCTAACCCAAAACTTTGGTGTTTAAATTGTCAATTTTCAGACACAGCATCAATGACCGACTCAGCAATGAAGCAAGATTTAGACAGCGACATGTCCGCTGCAAGTCCACTACCACACAACTCAACGGTAACTAAACATCGAATCTTAAACCTAGTCTTAACGAATCTTCCATAAACCATTTGATTTCTAGATCGGCGGCGCGGCTTCTCTGCATGCCCTTCTCGCTTCCGTTTGCACTTCACCACCACAACAACAACGCGACAAAACCCAATCACCCCCGATTCTCGCAAATTTGATTCACAGTTTTGCCATCTCTTCACCATCAAACAGTACAAAAACTGAGCCAAACGCGAAAACACAATGCAACGAGTGCGGGAAACATTTCCGGAAAGGTGAGTGTGGAGATGGGTAATTGAAATTGATGGGAAACAGTCAAATTTGATGATTTCTAAACAGTTTATGGGGTAATTAAAGGAATTGAAATTGAAATTGATGTTTGCTACATAGTTTAAGCATAGCCAATTGGGTAATTAAACCATAGCATTCATTGTTTTTGGTTTTAAATTTCTTTCTAAACGAGCTATAATTAAACGAAACGATTCTCAAAACATTTCAAGACCAGATTCTTTTTATCAAAAGTCCAACTTTTCTCTCTCTCTCTCTCATAATCCCCATTTTCAATTATTCCAATTATTTGAGATTAATATTTTGTTAGATTTAGTTGCCTAGATTTTCGTTTGGTATTTTTGCATGACAGGTTGATTCTCTGAGACAAAACCGTATCCATGGATTCATGGATATGCAGCTCTTTCCAAAGATTTTCCCCTTTTGTACAAAAGAAGGCAATATTATATTGCCATGAGGGTTTTCAGGGGAGATTAGTACAAAAAAAAAAAGTTGATTCTCATGTTTTTGTAGGGATTTCACTCTTGTGCTTTTCAAAGAAAGAGATTCGGATTTTTTGGGGCAGATCACGGGATACAGTTTTGTCGAATCACTCCCCCACAAAACACAAGTTTAAAGTGAGATTTTGTAGATTGAACAACTTTAAGTTTTACAGGTTTAATTTTAACAAGTGCTCGACTTATCAATTTGTAGAGAAAAGTGAGATTTTTGGGATGTTAAACCTATAAAACTTAAAGTTTTTTATTTTACAAGTGCTCGACTTATTAATTTGTAGAGAAAAGGCAAAAAAGTATTGATCTTTGAAAGCTGCTTAGTATTCATTGTTTTTCTATCAATTTGTTTCCTAAAGATATCCATTCTTTTCATTTCACAAGAGGTAATTCTTGAGGCGTTTTTTTTTTTTCTGACTATGAAAACCGTCACCCATTGAAAAGACAACTGTTGCTCGAGGGAAATCCGGGGGTTGAGAGCTCGAGATTGACAGAAAAGGTGGAGGGAGATCAGGGAAAAGAAAACTGTAATGTGAATGAGATTGGTGAATCATTTCTTGTGAAATAAGTAAAGACAAAAGCTTGTAATATGATCTGATTGAAGTTTGACGTCAAATTTGAGGGAAATCTCGATTGCTTAGCTCGAAAACTCGTGAAATTAACCGGATTTAACTGAATTTGACTGAATTTTAATGAAATTTACTGAATTTGACTGGAATTAACTGAAATTTACTGAAATTAACTGGATTTAACTGAATTTGACTGAAATTAACTGAAATTAACTAAAAAATTGGCGAAACTAGTGAACAAATCTAGTGATAAGCTTTCTAGTGTTGATAAGAACAAATGTTGAGGGTTAAACTGTAAAGTGGACTGTACAATGGACTGTAATTTGTAGTAGAAAGGAAAAGAGTCAAATCAGTGTTATTTCAACCGGTTCTTACTATTATTAACTAGAAGCCAAAAAAGGATTTGGATCTTCTGAACAAGAAACATTGCCAGAACTAAGCCTGAGCCTAAGCTTGAAGCCTAGTTTGACCCACTATTGCTCGAACAATCAGGTAAAGCTGATTGTGAATGAAAGCTTTTCAATAGCTTTGCTGCTTGCAATGCTTATTTTCAAACTTCAACGAAATCCCATCAAATCTAGACTCTCAAGCTCAATTCTCTTCAAAAAAAGCCCATTTGATTGCTCTCAATTATTGTCTCTCTTTGCCTTTTTGTTTTCATTTTTCTTTTTAATGATGAGATCTAAGATTTGACAGAGCCAATTAGATGCCTTCTCTTTTCTCCTTTCATTTTCTTCTCAATCTCGACTCACTCATGAATAGTGATGTATGCAAATCAGCCTCACTCTTTCACTCTCAACACAGCCATTTAATACAATAGCTTTCACGATAAAGGTACAAATGGAGTACGGGAGGGAGATTGGGCAAAGCCAAGCAAAGCAAAGCAAAGCAAAGCAGAGTTCTGTAAATCGAGAATTTCAATCCATTTTGCTCAATCTTGAATCTCTAAGACAAGTTTTGAAGACTTGCACTCGTTTTTGCAAGCTCTTTGAACTTTGAATTGAGATAAAGCCGATTTTTAGAAATCCTGGAAAGCACAACTGAGTTAGGCGAATTTTTGAAAACCTTGAATCTATTCTTGGCCTTTTTCCTCTATCCTCAACCTATGCACTCGACAATCACACAGTTAGCTTGTTGTTGTGACTTGCCTCCGAATCTCTTCCCCTTATCTCTTTCCTATTCAATCGACAGTCGTGTTGTCGACCCTTTCCCCCTTTCTTTTCCTTTTCTTTTAAATAGATTTGCACCAACTGTCGCCATTGTCAATCCCTCACTTTCCCTGAAGTCTTATCTTTTCTTTCTTCACAAATAAACCCATTACAGTCACAAGGGGGCATCTATTGGGAGAATTGAGCTTTGAAATTAAGTAAAAGATTCAAATCCAAATACAGAATTCGCACTAATTTTTGATTGTTGTTGAAGCTTGATTCAGAATCCAAGGATTGACTATCCGAGGATTGACTAGCCAAGGATTGACTAATCCAAGGAGTATCTTGAACTTAAGCCAACTTTATGAAAGTCATTCTAATCCTTTAAATCTCAGCTTTAAATAGTTTATTTGAGTTCAATTGACATTACAATCAAGTAAGTTGTAAGTTTTGAGCTTATTTCTTTTAGTATTTGTTGGTTCAATTACCTAGCAGAGTTTTAAAGTGAACAAATAACGAAATTCTTGAATTTCTATAACTCTTACAATTAGTTAACCGGTTCAATTACCCAAATTAAACTGAAAAATGAAAGAATCTGAACAATTCTCTTTGAAAGCCCTAACTATAGCCAAGCTGGAACTCTCGAGATTCAAAATTCAAAGTTGTTTATGTCTTGTGTGGGGATCGTGGACCGGGAATGACTTTTTGACAGACACACAGTGTGCAGTCAGCCAGCTGAGCCAGCTGATGGAGAAAGAGCTGTGTACGAAAGAGTGGTTTACAGTGGAATGGCCTCTTTCTATACCTTTCTATCTTTGCAATATCCATCCATTCAACATCTTTTCCCTTTCTCTTCTCCAAACCGTCCTTCTTTCTCTTCAAATGGGAGTTTTTGTGCCCCTTTAGTCTTTTAGGATTCCTTTTAGTCTTTTCCTCTTCATCCAATCCATCCCAACTCCCAACTTATGGCTTTTTGAAGAAAAATCTGGTATTGAGATGAAAGTTATATGAAATTTGGACAGACAGAAAAGCTAGAAATCTTGATTCCATCAACAGATTCGATAGCAACAGCAATTCTATTATCCCAAAAGTTTTTAAGCTATTTTTAGTCACTTTAAAGATCAATTTTCTTAGCTTTTCTTCAAAAAAAAAAGCTCTATAACTTTTTTCAAGAGGCTTTTTCAATTAGTCTACGAGTTTTACTCATTTATCAAGCAAAGAATAACATTTTGTCTTATGGTGCTAAAGATTTAGCTTCACAATTTCAACATAACAAATCTTATTCTAGTTGAACATACAAAAGAGAAATTTAGCAATTCTATTTATCTCAAAATCGGTGAGATCCAGTGAATACATTTCCAAAAATCCTTCACCAAACTTATGGCTTTTTGAAGAAAAATCTGGTATTGAGATGAAAGTTATATGAAATTTGGACAGACAGAAAAGCTAGAAATCTTGTTTCCATCAATAGATTCAATAGCAACAGCGATTCTATTATCTCAAAAGTTTTTAAGGAGTTTCAAGTGACTTTTAACAATCAATTTTCTTAGCTTTTCTTCAAAAAAGGCTTTCTTTTTTTTGATTTTAATAACATTCGCTCATTATAATTCGTTTTACCGTACGCCAAAACGGAGAGGAGGAAAGTTAAATCGTAGGTGAAATTTAGAGATTTCACTCGATAAACAATGAGTTTTACATTTATTAGATCTGTAGTTCAAACGGTTTTCCTTCAGAATCTTTTTTTCAAGAGACTTTTTCAGCCAGTCTACGAGTTTTACTCATTTCTCAAGCAAAGAATGACATTTTGTCTTATGGTGCTAAAGATTTAGCTTCACAAGTTCAACATAACAAATCTTATTCTAGTTGAACATACAAAAGTGATCTCATTTCCCAAATCCTTCACCCATTTTCTCTTTTTTTCCCCCCCCACTTTCTCACCATTCAATCGACGAAAAATCGTTTTCATTTAGCTCAAAATTGAAGTGGTTTTAAGGGATAAAAGGGCGGCAAAATCCCCAACGAAAATCGCATAGTTGATGAGGCTGACAGATGTTGGATTTGAGGGGAATGGGATGAGAAAGGGAAATTGTAGAGCGAGGAGTCAGTTAAACTTTCAATTTCAGGCTCACAACTGCAAATCCATTTGGTGTTGAATCATGGCTATCCACCATTGGGGAACACAAATAATGGAGAGGAGAAGACACCCGAACCGGAGAGATCCAGTGAATGCGAGGTGAGGAAATCTCGAATCAAAATCGATCCCTCGCTCCTTGAAAAGAGTTAAATCCCCAATCTAGAGTGCATTTTATCGAGATCATTCACCCAAATTAGCACCAGATCACTTAGAGAGCTCAAAATGCTTATAAATGCTCGATCTGGATCGCACACTAGCTTTTCCAATCTAAAACTGTTGAATCTGGACGGTTATGAGGGCTCCAAAGCGTTGACGGCTCTAGACTGACACCAGACTTATTGAAAAGCTTAAAACTATAATAAATGCTCGATCTGGATGGCACACTAGCTTTTCCAATCTAAAACTGTTGAATCTGGACGGTTATGAGGGCTCTAAAGCGTTGACGGCTCTAGACTGACACCAGACTTATTGAAAAGCTTAAAACTTGAATAAATCTTCAATCTGGAATACATATTAGTTTATTAGTATAATATTGATTAATATTTCTTATTTTCAGGCTCCTCCAATTGCTCACGTCCTTCCCATTCACCAGCCAACTGTCGGTGAGGTTGCCACTCTGCAAAATGATGTTCGAACGATCAAAAATGCTCTCTCTGAAATAAAAACCCAACAAGCCACTCCAAAACAGGATCAAGTAACAAAAAAAATGAATTCTTATCTATTCAAATGTTTAGTTATTATCCGGTTTGGACACTAGAGTGAGTCGATTGGAGAAACAAGTCGAAATGGCGCTCAACAGCATCTATACACTGGTTCAATTGCAAACAGGTAAACAAAAAGATCTCTGAGCCAGACACCAGCATTAAATCTACAGCTTCCGCTTTCAGTTCCCATTATAATTTACCTCAGTTACCTCAGTTACCGTGCCTTAAAATTAAAGTCTCGATTTGTCGTCTACTCTAGCTTCCATTTTAAAGCATGATATCCAGAACTCTCATTAACATTTCCCATTCAATTGCAAACAGGTAAGCAAAATTGATAGAAATGCTCTCATAGCCAGGCACCAGCATTAAATCTACAGCTTCCGCTTTCAATTCCCATCATAACTTACCTCAGTTACCTCAGTTACCGTACCCTAAAACTAAAGTCTCGATTTGTCGTCTACTCTAGCTTCCATTTTAAAGCATGATATCCAGAACTCTCATTAACATTTCCCATTTCCAGGAATCTCTTCTTCATTAACAAAATTCCGCGACGAAACCGGCGACCAACTGCGCGCCATTCGAGCGCTTCTCTCTGAGGGCACACCCACAAATTAATTCATTCAAATATCGAATAGTATTGTATTGTAGTCAATTTCCAAGTCACAATTCAAGAATCTCATCAAAATCTTGTCAGTTTTCCCTTGTTTTTTCCCAGGTAGCTATGTGATTTTCTTGTCACTGACCAATAATCTTTTTTTAAATTTGTAATCTTTACTATTTTTGTTATTTTTCCTTTCTCTTCTTTTATAATATTCAGATTTTACTATCTAGTCGAATTTTTTTCGATTTTTTTCGATTTTAGCTCTTTCACGAGCCAAAAGCTGAAACTCTAGTCATGTGTACAGAAAAGCTTTCAATTTACATTTATTTTCTTAGTCTTACTGTAGTTTTTTTTCAATTTTTATGGTACTTTTCAAAGAGTGCTAGTCAGAATTTGCGAATTTGTGAATTTGCGAATTTTCGAATTTCTCTAAAGTGTCATTACTTTAAACCGTGTGCTCTCTTCGAAATTTTCAGCAAATCAAAATTCTTTTTCCCTTCAAATTAATGCCAATTTGATATTTTCCCCAAATTCATTGCCCAAAAGCGATCTGATCTCGTCATATTTCTTTCTAAAGTCATGTTTTTTTTTTGAAATTTTTTTGTTTGGGTAAATGAATAAAGTCATTTTGATACAAAAAACAAACATTAAACAATAAAAACATTCAATTACTGAATACTGAATTCAAGTACTGAATTCTAAAAAAACTACTCTCATTTCATCATTTAAAAGGTTTACTTTTAATTTTTAAAATGAAACGAATTTTGTTTTTCTCTAATATTTTCTCTAATAGTAGTGCACCATGAGCGTCGCCTAAATTCCTCGAAATCTCGAGAACCGCTTATCAAAACCTATCGATGTGGGGCTCGGAAAATGTAGCTGACGATGAGATCTTGTGGGGGATTTGAGTGTTGAGCTTCTGTAAAAACGTAGAAACCGTAAAATAGTCATCAACTCGGCACGGCAGAGTGCACTACTATTAGAGAGAAAGAGAATAGAGCAAACAGCTTTGGCAGATTACGGTAACATCTGTGAGGTGGTACCTCTTTCTCAGGTATTTAATTTCTAGATTACAATAGTTTTAGCTGAATCCAGTGATCACCGAATCCCATATTCTCTCTAATAATAGTGCACGCTGAGCTTTGTCTAAATTCCTCGAAATCTCTAGAACCACTTATCAGAACCTATCGATGTGGGGCTCGGAAAATGTAGCTGACGATGAGATCTTGTGGGGGATTTGAGTGTTGAGCTTCTGCAAAAGCTTGGAAACCGTAAAATAGTCATCAACTCGGCTCGCCGGGCTGCACTACTATTAGAGAAAATACGGTATTAAGTTTAGTTTAAGTTTTGAATACGAATTTTTCACAAAAATCTTTTTTTCCAAAAGAATAAAGCTATTAAAATTAGTCCAGTAAATCTGTGTTCTATATTGGACTTTTCAGGGTTTTTAAAAAGCTTCAGTTTTGGGATTTTTTCGGGACCTCAAAGTTAAGTAGTCAGAATTTCTACTGTATTAAAGCGAAGGATTGAAGCGATGTCCGTCCTTTTCTCGCAACATTTTGATTTTGATAAGCGGTTCTCGAGATTTCGAGGAATTTAGGCAAAGCTTAGGGTGAACCTTCTAATAGTATTGCACCCCGGCGAGCCAAGTTGATGACTATTTTACAGTTTCAAAGCTTTTACAGAAGCTACAGCTACATTTTCCGAGCCCCACATCGATAGGTTCTGATAAGCGGTTCTCGAGATTTCGAGGAATTTAGGCAAAGCTTAGGATGAACTACTATTAGAGAAAATACGGTAATATCGATTTTTAATGCATACTACTAAAAATCTAAAAACGGAAAATTAAAGTACTTTTTATTGTTAGTTCTTTTACGCTTTTTCTTTTCATTTTGTTATGGATTCAAAATTTCTTCATTGTTTAACAGATGGACAAAGCTTAGTGCTTAGAAATAGTTAAAAGAATTGGCAAACTGCTTTTTTTGCTTTCAGTTATCATAATTGCTCAACTCCTGTGCTGCAGAGTGGCCAATTTCGGGAAAGTTTAATTCAAATGTGCCTCAAGAATTTAAAGTTGGATAAATCTTTGTGTTTTTCACATTTCGACAGTTACCTTATTCATAATTCAGAACAGAAAGCTTCAATTTATTATTTCGAAAATGAAAACGTGACAAAATCTCAAAGCTTAAAGCATAAACGATTTTGAAATGATGTTATCGTATTAGCATTTTGTTCAATTCTTGTTCAATTTCGATACAATTCTACAAATTCTACAAGCTAGATAAATTCTTAATTTTCTCAACTTTCTACAGTAAAAATTTTGAGAAGCAATTTTATAAAAACAAAGCGAAATTTGTCGATTCAAATATCATTTTCATTTTCAATGCAATTCTTAAATAAAAGTTTATACAGGGAGTTTTTGAGGTAAGTTAAAAGTTAACTGTTAAAAGTTAGCTGTTAAAAGTTAGCTGTTAAAAGTTAGCTGTTAAAAGTTAGCTGTTAAAAGTTAGCTGTTAAAAGTTAGCTGTTAAAAGTTAGCTGTTAAAAGTTAGCTGTTAAAAGTTAAAGCTAGCTTTTAAAAGCTAAAGTTAACTGTGAAAAAAAACAAAGAAGATTTCTTTACTTAAACTGTACAAAAGTATGAGTTCCGGAAGTAGCAATTCACCGCTTTCCATTGTCCATTCGAGGAATCGATGGCCGCACAACCGACAATCGAATTCGGCTCACCTAAAGTGTTGAAAAATGTGTTGAAAGTCGTCGTAAACGTCAGGATCAAACTATTCAAACACTTGCCACTAACCAGGTGCCCAATTGGTGTACGTAAGCGGTTTGCCATCCCATTGTGTCCACACTCCATTCGCCGTTTGTTTCACTCCAATGAGAAATGGAGCCAAATTGCCTAAAAAGTTTTTTCTTGTAGCTAAAAACCCTAAATAAAACATACGAATCAACTGCCAAGCAAATCCGTTTTCAAATGAGTTATCGATTTTTGCTAATCCAGCATTTTGTCCACCGATTTGTTGACAAATAAGAATTGCTTGATCGGCGTCTTGATAATCTGAATGAAAATTAGAATATTGAGCTTAAAACGAAGATAAAAATGACATAAGAAACTCTAAAATAAAGCTTTCAAAGTATTTCAGAAGAATTTACCGTAAATACTGTAATAGTACCCCACCGCCATTATACAGTCGCGTAGTCGCAAAAGTTTTTTAGTAGTTTTTAGTATTTCATTTTTTTCAAAGCGCCCGTACTTTCAAAAAATGCGTCTTTGGTATCAAAAAATAGCTGAAATTCAGGGCTATTTTTTGATATCTATTGTAGCATTGTAGCATAAACCAGTGTCGAGAAAAACCAGTTTTTTCGGGATGGTTGCGTAGTCTAACTTTAAACATCCCGTTCTCCGCGCTGCTTTATGCTACAATGTGCACTTTAATATCAAAAAATAGCCCTGAATTTCAGCTATTTTTCGATATATGTTGTAGCATTGTAGCATAAACCAGTGTCGAGAAAAACGCGTTCAAAGCTAGACTACGCCACACTCCGCACCGTCACTATGGGGGTGGGGTACTATTACAGTGTTTACGGTATGTTTAAATTATAGTAGATAAGGGATAAGCTAAACTAAGAAAAGCATATCGTAATACCTTTAATAGTAGCCCCTCCGCCCGATAATGACGGTCGGAGCATCGCGTAGTCCAACTTTATAGGCATTTTTCTCGCCACCCATTTATGCTACAATGTTCGTTTAAGTATTAAATGAAAGCTGAAATTCAGGGCTATTTTTTGATATCTAAACGCACATTGTAGCATAAACCAGTGTCGAGAAAAACTCGTTCAAAGCTAGACTACGCAACACTCCGCACCGTCATTATGGGAGTGGAGTACTATTACAGTATTTACGGTAAGTGAAAAACAATATCCCTGACTTTAAATATCCCGTTGACTGCTTGTTTTTTTTGGCTGAAATTGTTAAAATTTGAGCTTTGAGGTCAGAGGAAACGAAAATCTTTCAATGTCAAAGAAATTTTAGGAAAACACGAAAAACTCACCCGGTGACTGATAGAGACATTTTGTTTCATTCAAGATTGGTATCATTCCATTTGGACAAGCCGCTTCAATCGTGTAAACGAAAAAAGAAATCGAGAATAGAAAGACGATTTTGAACATTTTCTTTTCAGAAAAAATTGAATGAATGGCTTTTCACTCGAAATTTTTTACTCTTATCAAATTTTCGCCTTGAAAAGAACACATAAAATGTGGTGATTAGACGTTTAAAATCAAGGAAAAGAGGTAAAGAGACCAAAAAACCACGAATTTCAGGAGTCACTTTGAATTCCGGTACTGAACTTACGACAATAGAGTTGCTGATTTTGTTATAGCCGCTTCTCGTGCTAATTGAAAGTATGACAATTATAATTCATCTCCTAAGTCTGGATTTGTTTTGTTTTATCTTGATCTTGATCTTGATCCATTCCTTTTACTCCTATTCTTTTTCCTTTACTCAAACCGTGTCCAACGTTGAGACAACTCAAAAGAGTGAAACGAGATCTGCATTCGGTGTTACAGTTTTAACATCGGATCCACACTTTTGTGGATCCAAACCACACCAACAAACACTTATCAATCGGATCCACACCACACCAACAGACACCTATCAATCGGATCCACACCACACCAACAGACACCTATCAATCGGATCCACACCACACCAACAGACACCTATCAATCGGATCCACACCACACCAACAAACACTTATCAACCGTACACTTTTGTAACTTTAAACTTTTCGATTTTTGTTAATGCAAGTGTTGCTACTAAATTTTACTTCAAAAAGAAGTTTTTCTGATTTTTATAAAAAAAATTTCTTGATCTCAAAATAATGCAAAACTTTTATTCCCACTGAGCTTCAATTGCTATATTGCTATATTGCATATATTGCTGTGTATCTTTGCAGTGGAACAAAAGAGCTAAATTTGTCCGAGGTCTAAACATTTCTTTAACCTTTCT